TCTAGATAGGCCGAAGGGACTCCCTCTCTAGGTGTAGCTCCTTGAAAGTGTTGAGGTACATTACGTTGACGGAGCTACCTGTATCAACGTAAGTTCTGTGGATGATGGTGTCATTGATCTCACTTTGGATTACCAGGGCATCCCTATGAGGCGAGGAAACCGAGGGGAGATCAGCGTTGGTGAATTCAATGGGTTCCTCCCTCAGCCGCTTCACGGGGGGCATATGAGTGACTTCCCCCACGTAAAGCGATTGAGCCCACTTCTTCCTTTGGCTGGTGGAGTCCCCCCTGTGTTGCCCCCGGTGATCATGTGGATGTGGCGCTTTTTCTCCTGGTACTGGTTGTACTCTTCTTCATCGAGATTCCCGATTTCCCTTTTCTTACCCTTCGGGTCACCGAGGGGGGTGGTGTTCGGGTTGACCCAGGCATTTGCCCTCGTCGGTGGACCTCATAGGGGCCCTTGGTGCTGAGGGCTTCGGATAAATTGGGACAGATGGCCCACTTGTATTAACTTCTCAATGGCCGCCTTCAGCTGATGGCAGTCATCGGTCATGTGCCCTTGGTTGCGATGGAACCGACAGTAAGGATAATTGGGGTTGATGGCATACACCTCCAGGGGCGCGCGAGAGTCTCGCTCGACGAGTCCCCTTTCCTCGGTGAAGTCGAGGATGACGCTGACGGGGTGTGTTAAAGGCGTCCGAGGGAGCTCCAAGAGAATGGGCTGGGCCCAAGCCTTTGGGTTGCCCTTGTAACCTCCCCCGGTCTTGGCTTGGCCATGCCGGGGGCGGTCACCGGGGAGTGCCAAGCCTTTGGATTTATTTGGGGAAGCCCCCGGTCCCCTGTTGCCTTTGTAATCCGGCCGAGGGCGTTGCTGATCGGGGTTGTGATGGCATTTTCCCACTTCCTCAGCCTCGGCATACCGGTCCCCCCGATGTAGGGCCCTTGTGTAATTGCGGGGAGGTTCGATGATGAGGCTTCTTGAAAAGTTCCCGGGGCGGAGGACTGTTTGAAGGAGGGCCAGGAGGGTCCCATTGTCAGCGCCGTCAACTTTATCTGCCTCCGTCCTCCAGCGTTCCAAGAAGTCCCGAAGGGTCTCCTCCTTCCTTTGTCTCACCGTCACTAAGTGGGAGAAGTGTTTTCTCGACCGGCGCCTCCCTGCAAACTGCGTCAAGAAACGTTGGGCGAGTTCCTGCCATGAATCGATGCAGCCTTCGGGCAATCGATTGAACCATTCGTACGCTGGTCCCTCTAAGGTGGAAAGGAATCAATGGCACAAACATTCGTCCGACGCCCCCACCATCATCATATTGTTCTGATATCTGCTGTAATGCTCCTGCGGATCTATCTTCCCTTCATAGGGCCTGATGGGCTGCCCCCGGTATTTTTTCGGATTTTGAGCCGCCAATACCCTTGGGGTAAATGGCGTCCTAGTCCGGAGTTGAATGATGGTTTCCCCGGAGCCCTTTGCCATTTTCTTCTGCATCTCTTCCATTTTGACCAGCATGGCGGCGTATTTAGGGTCCGCCTGCGAGGCGGAAGCTGTCGTGTGCACTTGACGGGCCTCCATCTCGTCAAGGCGGCGTTGGAGGGCTTCAATGATTTCGTCCCTGTGATCCTTCGAGGGGGCCTCCGCCCCCCTGCGAACAAACACGGACCGAGTGGGCCTGGTTGATTTGGTGTCTTGCATCGTCGGCATGGAGTGGTGCCTTGCATTTGTCTTGAGGGGGACGCCTCTCGTCTGCCCTCGAGACGGATCCTCCACTTTCCTGGGGCCTTTTGAATGCCTTACCACCGAGGCGGTCTTGGACCCCTCGGCGGTCTTGCATTCCTCCGAGCCTGCCGAGGGCGGAGGTGCGGTGTTTTTCCTTGTTCGCACCATGGCGGTCCCGAGATTGGATCTCTTGGGAGGCGGTGTCTTGAGCCACGACCCCCTCATCGTTTCCGACCCGAAGGATAGGATTCACGAAGGGGGTGGACGTGGGAGAGGTACGGCGTTCTCCCTGACTTGTGGTTGGAGGGGTACCAGGGTGCCGAAGGTGCCTGGATTTTGCGTGAGCGTCTGGATGAAGGCGGATAGTGCTGACTGCACATCAATAGTGAGGACCGGAGGGCTCACTTGATTTTCGCTCTAGTCCCTCTTTCGGGCCTCGATGCCGAGGCGGGCATCGGAGGCATTTTGTTGGAGCTGAAAGCGCAGGTCAACAACGGCCTGTTCCAACTCAGTGATGAACCCGCCCTCGGGAGCTTTGTTGGAGGCTCTGGGGCGTTGACTTCACCGAGGGCCAGGTTGTTGTCCTCAAGGTTCTTGGACTGAGCACGACTGGTTCTTCCCATTTTGGTAGGTGTTTTGAGCTGAAGGGAAGGGTTTCTTACTTGATTGTTCGACCTCTCAACGAGAGCACCAAATGATGGATAGTGTACCCGAGGGGTAGTTTATCCGAGGGGTTACTGCGGGGGGTAACTTAGAGAGAAGTCAGAGCGAATAAGTAAGAGAGAGAGAGAGAGTCAAATGTATTGAATGAACTCGTTGTGTGTTACAAAGGGAAAAGGGGCTGCTATTTATAGTAGTAATAAATGCTAGATGGGGACACGTGTCAGCATTCTGGTGGTCGAGAGGTCACCTCAACCGGGGTGGCGCTGGCACTCGCATATGGCCGCATTAAATGTGGTGGTTGGACGCGACGTTTGTACTTGATACGGTGATCCGGCGCATGTGGAGAGGAGATTCTGTCGAGGAAGATGCCTTCGGCTGTAGGTGACAGGCCGAAGGCTCTTCGTGTCGGGGGCCTCCTAGTACCGAGGGCTCTTATGCCGAAGGCTTTGTTTTTTAGGCTTGTTCTCCCGTGATTTATCTGAGCCCGATTCTGTCACCGGTAGCCTTCGGCAATGGGGCTGAAGGCATCCCTTCATGTATCGTGGGCTGCTTAGAGTTCCATCTTGTAGGGCTTGGCCCGCTTGGGCCTGATGGGCCTGATTGTAATAGTGGAAGTATGTGGGCCGGGGGTCCCTGGGACATATACTCCATCAAATCCAATCAATAATTGAGCATAATATGTACATGTTTCAAATTAATTAAATGTTGTAATGTAAAAGTATGATTTTTTTATATTATACGAGCATTTACATCATTTAATGAGTTATGAATGATTATAAAAGTAATGTCAACATTTATTATGTGAAGTCAATAAGAAAGTCACACGTAGCATTTCAAAATCATGCTTACTATAAAGAACGGTAGATAATAATGAATCTGGTGTTTTAGACATTTTTTGAAAAATTAACTTATAAATGAAAAAATTTATGAAATCTTAAATTTCATATTTGAATCTACTTTAAAAAGTTTTTGGGTTGTATTGACAAAAAGGTTCTAGGCCTACAAATCTCCACCCATTGGATCTTCATATTTTTATTTTTATTTTTACATATGCAATATTGATGTCATATGAAAGATAATAAAATCTTATGAATTTTTAAATAATTTTATAAAAATTGGCCTAGAGTACAAATAAGAAAATTATAACAATTTAAAAATAAGAGATTTTCTCTCTTTTTTTCCTTCAAATGAGTTGTTGACCTAATAAAGGTAATGTTAGTGCCTAGTGATGCACCATGACCTTTTTAAAAAACCTTTTTAATTTCTTTTTATAAATGTAATAATGTAAAAGTATGATTATTAGCTCCATATATTATATGAGCATTTGGAACAATGGTTGTAAAAGTAATATTAATCTTTATTATATGAAGTCAATAAGAGAGTCGCACATAGCATTTCACAATTCAAATTTACAATACAGAATAATAAATAGTAAGGAATCCGACGTTTTAGACATTTTTTTGATAAATTAAATTAAAAATATAAAAAATAATTATGAAATCTTATTTTTAAGATCCAAATCTATTTAAAAAAGTTTTGGACTTTATTGACAACAAATATTTCTAGGCCTAAAAATCACAACCAATCGGATCATTAGATTTTTTTTTATTATTACATATGCAATATTTGGTGTCATCTGGAAGATAATAAAAAGTTATGAATTTTGATATAATTTTTATAAAAATTGGAGTACAAATAGAAAAAGTATAATAAATTAAAAATAAGAGATTTTCCCCTCTTTTCTCCAAATTAGTTGGCCTGATTAATGTGAAAAGCTATGCACCGTGAGACAAAATTAAGTAAATGTTTTAATAGAATTGATGATAGAATTTGTAGTAACCAATAAAATGTTGAGACATACATCGTTGATTTATAACTCAGTTTTATTATATAAAACTATAGATTAGGGCCGGTCCTATATTATAACATATAGAACTCCACTACAAAAGGATAAATGTCGAGTGGCTATCAGATTTGGTGATGAAAATCCAGGTAGATTTCTCAATATAAGTGTAAATGAAGTTTGTAATTCCAAAATAGGATGATTATGTTTTTATTACCGAAATAGGATTAACATGAAAGTATTTACTGTCATCTTGTAAGCGTGACTGTCAAATAGTTGCAGTACAAATGCATTTAACATGTCAGTATTTATTTTAATCAATGACAGTATTTTTCAATCATGACGGTATTTTTCATACATAGCAGTAACACTGTATTAACTCATATTTCGAGAAAAAAACATAATAGTTCTATTATGGAATTTCAAACCTCGTTTAATCCTATTTAGTGCAATTTCCCAAAAACCTATTAGAAATGATAAAAAAAATCATACTACATATATCTCTTATTTTTCTTTTATTATTATTCCAATTAAAAGACCATTTTTTTAATATTACAAAAAAAAAATTTATTATAAAAATAATACGGAGTATTAATTTTTAATATTATTTTTCTTTTATTAATGTTACAAGAAAAGTCAAATTCTGTTAAAATGATCTTATGTTGTTGTTTAGCAGTATACCTCGTACTTGTATTATGTTAGGACAAGTGTTTGAGTTCAACACAATCTTATCCATCAGTTAAGTCCATTTTAATTAAGGATTTTGTTAGTTAGGTTGCAAGAAATTAGAATTAGGAAACTAAGCCGTCATGCATATGTATACGTAGTATATAACTACTCGTATATCATCATCATTCACTCATTCATTCGAAAAATTAAACAGAGATAATATAATTATCATCGTTCTTGCCCTGCCTTCGTACGTGTTCAATTCACAAGAATTCTCGGTCGATCATGAATTCCGCGGAAGAGATGTCCGCCGCACTGGCCTTCATCAGAAGAGTGAAGCAAAGGTTCCCAAAGTACCAAGCTTTCGCCGCAGCTTTGAATGGCTTCATGGCGGGACAAACGGACGCCGAAACCGCCCTGTCAAATGTCTACGCCTTTCTGGACGGCCACCGCGACTTGGTGGAGGAATTCAACGACTTCCGCTTGCAGTTCAATCCTCCGAGTCCGAAGGCGGCTGATTGTGTGGAGGCTCATCACGCCCGCGTCCGGCTCGCCAAGGAATCCCCGGACAGATCTAGACCCCCGACATCCATGGGAAACGACGGGTTCAAGAATCCGAGGAAGCGAAAGGCGGCGGAAGATTTGGAGGGCCACCACGCCCGGGTCCGGGACGCCAAGGAATTCGTGGACAGAATCCGGATATTCGCGGGAGACGAGGTTTACGCTTCTTTTCTCCGAGCCGTCGACGGCTTCAATGGCCACCGGGACGTGAGGGAAGTGGACAGAGAGGTGGATGCTCTGTTTCAAAAGAGCCGGAACCCGGAGCTGTACGTTACCTTTACCCGGTTCACCGCCGATTCTTGGCCGGACCCGGACGCGGACACCGCCGGAGCCAACGCCGGTGGAGGGCAGTTGGTGAAGAAGAAGAAGGCGAGGAAGAGTGCGCCGAAGCCGGACACCACTCTGGCAGACTGCGAAGACGAGTTGTATGAGAGCGACATGATCCTCCACGCGCTCGAAGCAACTCAGCGCGTGACAATAAAATTATTGGTGTCGCCATTGACGACGGACAAGAAAGAAGTGGAAGAATGTTACAGCGCCGTGAATCGGCGGTGCATACGCAGAACATTGGGAGAGGAGGCGGCGGGTCGGATGATTGAGTCGCTGAGGAAGAATCGGAGCGTGGCCTTAGAGGAATTGACCCGTATTTTGAAAGAGCGGATCCAAAAAACCCGCCTCCAGTGCCAAGAGATTAAGCAGCGCTGCGCCCACACCTTTTGTAACAATAGTTCACGGCAATGATGTTAATTCGACCACTTTAGCATTCTTTGATCTGATTCCTATTTTTTATTCAATTAATTGATTAACATTTTTTTGTTAAATTTATGTAACGATTCAAGTTTTAAGGGAGGTCATCAATAAGACTTGTTTTAGTAGTTCCCAACAAAGTGACCGTGTGTGTGTCAATGCCAAATATGCTCTGCCCTGCCTACCTAGTTACCAACCAAATAAGAATTCTTATAGTCCCTCCTCCGTTCCGTTGTAAACTTTTAATGTTCCCGTTTTCCTTTTTGGATGCCCCGTTAGAAAAAGTTTCCATTTCCCTACGTGTAAAGTTATCCTACATCAAAATAGGGTCAAAGAGTGCAAAACAGTGTCAAAACAGTGTCAAACCGTGTCGAAACAGTGTCAAAACAGTAAAATGTACTCCCTGATAAGTTTATTTCCTTAATATGTGTGTAGGTCAAACCGAGAACATTCCAACGGGACAGAGGGAGTATGATACATCCGGCTGTACGGGTGGGAACCGTACAGCAAGGTATTTTTGTAATTGTGGTAAATTTCCAGCCCAATTTAATTATTCTCCTCATCCGTCATTATACACTTGAGTTCATATTGGCCGTCCATTTTAGAGTTCGTATTACTCTCGTTGTTGTGTCTCCTATGTCCAATTTAATTACTTTTCTCTTCATGTTTTTTTTGCGAATTTTATATTTGTAATTCTTAATTTATACGGAATATATCAAATTGAATATTACAAATTTCAAATAAATTATTTAATAAATTATCAATTAATATATCTATAAAAATTTTAATAAATTCATCAACAATTTCATTATTCCATATCTAATACTTAAACTTTATTTTGTTAATTTTGTAATGTTACATTAGTGTAAATTTATGTTTTTTCTTGAAAAGTAATGCACATTTATGTTAAACATTATTCTCATATTAGTATATAAAATACTCGGATTGAGATCCTCTGCCTTAAGGGAGAGTGCCTTACTCAAATGAATGACAGAGATTAAAACACACACCTCTAGATTTGTGTAAAAAATTGGACCATTCATCTCCAACCATCAATTTTTTGATTTGAGGGCTTAAAATGAGCAGGCACCCTCCTAGTTTGCTTAATCCAGTCAGAGATGCCGGATCCAAAAATCTAATTTAATATTGTTGATATTAAAACATTTTATCAATGCTCATTGCTTATTTAAGTGAAAATTGTGCCTTCTCTTAAATGACTATCAATGCACTTTTAATGAACATTAGACATATTATTTTGAGTATTAGGAGTCTATTAATGATCATCGTGATTTTTGCTTCATATTTTCAAATTCACTCTCTTTTTCTTATTTTTATTTTTATATTCTTTTTAAATATATCTATAATCAACTCTTATGAATATCAATATGTGAATCCAGTGTAATATAATACTTTAGAAATATGCATTGATATGACATTTTAAAATGAGTATAACATCAATATCAAATGAGCATACATAACTTACAAAATGTGCATTGATACAAAAATCGTAAACTTGGTTAGTTGAACATCAAAACATTTTCATTGAGCATCAAACTTCCTCTAGTAAGTATTAGAATCATACAATTGAGCATCATGGTATTTGCCCTCGTGTATATAACCAACTTTTATGCGATTGTAATGTAATATGATATTTTTGAAATATGCATTAATTTGGCATTTTAAAATGAACATAAAAGCATTAGCGGATGAGCAAACGTAACTTACAAAATGAGCATCGAAAAATTAAAAAACTCATTTGAACTTTCTAATTTGTGCTCAAAATATTCATTGTGTGTGTTCATTTCTTTTAATCGTTATACTCATTCGAATATAAGACAAAGTCTTTTCTATAACATGTACTTGTAGTAGATTCATTATTAACAATTTACTAAACTAGTATCATATATAAACTATAAGGAAATAAAAAATAATTTATCGTCGTTCGTTCTTGAATTACAAATATAATTGTATTCTTTTTATAATGTTTACTTGTGCACAATTACTTTACACTATACTCATTTTACTATAACATAAAACTCATATTAGTAATTAATACACAATGTTTAATAAACCAATAAATATTCATCTTAAAATTTATAATAGAAAAATAAAACATTAATACCTAAAATATTTTATAATGCACAAACTAAAAAATCTAAGTTAGAAGGTTAATTTTAAAAATAAAAAAATATGAGACATTAAAGGATATTTTATATTATATATTTTCATAATTATTTAATATAAAATTAAACTATAAGGTGGTTAAAGCAAAAATAAAAGAAGGAAGACAACAGTCAAATACGGAGTAAGTAATTCAGGTGGGGGACGTAACTAACTAAAACCGCCAGTTGTACCATGCGGATGGTACAATCGGCGGTATAATGAAATTTGCCAACCAAATACAGAGGATCATCTCTCCACGCAGGTGTTCCTAGGGAATGATAAAAAAATTCATATTTATATTATTCCTCAATTATAATTACAAGTCGACCATTTATAATTATTTGATCGGATAATTTACAATTACACATCCAATCAGTTACAATTATTCGTCCGATCAATTATAGTTATCCGACCGATCAGTTACAGTTATCCGATCCGATAAGTTACAATTACTCATTTCGATCAGTTAGGACTAGAACTGGTCCTGGTAGGACTAAAACTCATTAATGAGAAAGACTTTCATTGTGATTGAGAAATTAGTTTAGAACCAGTATAAATACATACTTCTCTTTCATAATTTGTGACTAGTTTTCTAGATTCAGTATTACCAGTTTATTTCCTTGCGAAGAGATTTCCTTGCCTTTCTCTACGGGAGATCTAACCGTTCTTTCGGAAAGGATAAATCACGTGGATACCTAAGGTCAAAGATTATCACCGCTATGCTAGAAGATCTGTAAGTTCTAACTCAGATCTATTATTGTTGTTATATTCGTTGTTTTGTCATAATCAGGAAAGATCTGTTTGGGAAAATTTTAAACTTCTGTTGTTTACTTTCGAGGTACGTTACATCAATTTTCTAACACTTTTACCCTTTACTACTATCTATTTTAAGTGCGAGAAAACTCACATCGGTTTTTGGCGCCGTTGTCGGGGACGGTGTCGGTTTTAAGGGTTAATTAATTTCAGTGACTATTTTTAGTTTTTCGTTGGAATTTTTATGTGCTAACCTTTCAAGTAAATTAAAGAGGCACGAGATGAACTCATTCAGCTCAATTCTTGGAGGAATACCATTCCCTCAAACCTCCACAGATTATTCACCATTTACACCCCATCCTCCTTACATTCCCCATCATTATTACACTCCTCATCAATATTACTCTCACATAGAGCAAAATATTCAGTCTTTTTGTCCAAACCCTCCAACCATGCAACCCTTCCAATCGCAGTCTTCTTATCACCATCCTTACCGGGCAACTGCATACCCCACTTCATCCTCCCCACAAGTTAGGAACACAAATGTTTCAGCCATTCCTACATCCTTGTCAAGTACTGAGCCACATAATCAATTTAAGAAGACAATTTTAGAGAGGTTGTCTGAGTTAGAAGAGAGTATCATGCAGTGCACTGCCCAAATTCAGAATCTAATAAGCAATGTGGTGGGTCAACCGGCAGAAGCCCGACCTGAGGAGACCAATAGAGATGATTGTGTGAGTGAATCAGACTGCGAAGGTGAGAATATGATGGATGATACACTTCCTGGTGCTTTTGAAATCCCACCTCTCTCTGAACTTTAACAAAAAGAGAGTAGTCTATATTCCGTGTACCAAGAATCCATGCAATACATGCAAAAGTTTCAAATGGTGCAAGCTCAAACTGATGAAGGCAGGAATCACTTTGATTTTCATATAGAAGCTCTTCATCCATTTGATTTACCATTAGTCTCAACCCCTGATGAGGGCATGGAGCAGATCAGTCATGACGTTGATGCAGCCACCGAAGTAGGTTTGAGTATTCAAGATGAGTTGAGAAAAGGTAATCACGAGCTCCAAGAGAGTGGTAGCAAGGTAGATGATATCCATAATAGTTTAGATTGATTGCTTTAAGAAAACCCCCGAAAATCACAAAAAATAAGGTGTTTTCTGTGTGTTTTTGTGTTTGTTCACTTTGTTTTCGCAGCTCAGGGTGTACTTTGGGGATGATGCGCCGCGGTTTACATAGACTCAGTTACATTCTGCACCGACCAACTCCCCTAGGAAAGTTTCCACGACCTTTCCATTCGCCTGTTTTAAATGTTAACTTGAGCTAAGTTGAGCACGTGTGAACCTTTTCCCTTTACCCCCTTGTGCATAGTGCAGTTTTGGTCATCGAGGGTGATACCAAAGTTTAAGTGTGGGTGAGTGAATTGGCCTTTCAGTCAGTAGTTGTTGCGTGAGATTACTAGAGTTAGCATGCACAGGTGTTAGTTGTATATTCATAGGAAATTCATGTCAATTTTTTGCAAAATTTTTTCTTAAACTGTGTCTTTGTGAGCTGACAAGAGTCTTGACTATGCTTTTAGAACATCTTTGAAGTGTTTATGCTTAAATTCCTTGCACTATTATTTTAGTTGTTTAAGAAAATCCACTTTGAGCCTGACCATTCTATTCTTTACCCATAAATTGAGCTCTATTGCCAAATGGCCTGTTTTTCTTACCCGTGAATAATTCTGACAGAGTATTGGTGTTTAGGGAACTAGTGGATTAATTTGCTGAGTTTAGGAAGTTTTTGTGGGAGCCACTCTTGGCACTGTTCCTATGCCCCAAATGGGGTACGTAAGAGCAGACACTTTTTAGAAATTTGATATTTTCGAGGATTGCATTGTAGGCATGGATTCACTTGCTTTAAATGAACTTTAATTTGAGCATTTTCCTTGGTAAGGCCGAGATTAGAATGAGGTAATGTCTAGTGAAAATTTAAGAAAAATGAAAAAATTAATTAATATAGCTAGACCTCTTACCTTGCGAAAAAGAGAATGGGAGACCCTGTCAAAAAGCGTAACTGTTTTGCACAATAAGATGAGACTTGGGGATCTTTCGAAAGAAATGGCATTCTCGTGCCAACATGACAAGGAAAACTAAACTGAATGAATTGATCTTGAAGGCTTTTGCAAAAATTAACATTAGTCCTTCACGTACTTCAAGTATACGTCAAAGCACCA